CGCCCCTTTCACCCACAACCCCCTCCCCTCTCTTGAGACGACGTCCCTTTCCGCCGAAAGAATTAAATGATAAGGGGCTGGAAGGTTCGCCCCCCTTTTTTGCTTGGACAAGGCTGCTGCTCGGGCCACCACCTCCCCCGAGGAGAAAATGTTATCCCTCGTTATCCAATATTAATCCCCAGAATCATTTTTCCCCTTACTGAGACCCCATATTATTTCTTTTGTACTACGCCCTCGGCTCCCCCCCCCCTTTCCTTCTCTCTCTCACTCGCCCCCGCCGCGGGACCTGGTAACCATAGCGTAACGTAGAGTAACGAAGTAGGGCTGGAAAAAGAGAATAATACTACTGCCTGCCTCATGGTTTTATTTTTGTTCGGTTCAAATTGGGATCCACCCTCTTCTCTCTCTCTCTCTCCCTCTCTCTCTCTCTCTCTCTCTCTCTCTCTCTCTCTCTCTCTGTGCGTCGGCTGGGTATCCCGGAGGGTATATCTCCCCGGGTCTTGTTCGCTTCGAGAAAAGATAGCGCGCCGAGAGCTGAGACATGTATACCAAAAGGACCGAGGGAAGCCCTTTTAGAGTTTTCAAAGAAGTCATTAAAAATAAATATCTTTCCGATTTCTCTGGAAACCCAAGTGTAGACTTGAATGCAGTACCTCCTGCCTGCATATATGTAGGTATGCAGACGGTACTGCATTCAAGTGCACACTTGGTTTTCCACAGTTCGCACAAAACAAATAAATGCCGTTTTGAACTAATTTTTCACCAAAATCAAAATGCTTACGGGGCTCGCGGACATATCATTCCACTTTGAAGAGTTTTTTCTGCTGCAAAAGTTGTGCAGCCTCATGAAAAGTATTTAAAACAATTGGTTAGCATTCCAGTCAGTGCGAACTGGTTTGTTCGTAAGCTTATGAAGAATTAGCTTAATCATGCACGATGCTTGAAAATTCTTCATAAACGCGGTGGAAATAAATAGATTGCATTGCAAACCTGTTCTTAGTAAGAATTTTGCAATGGACGGTTGGTTACAGTATACTGACTCAATTGGGGACAGCAGATCTGTTTAAAAAGAAGAAAAAGAAATGTTGACAGAAATGGAAGGCGGGTGTACGTGGCTCCGGGGAAATGGATATAGCATCGGAACAGAGAGCCGGCCATGATAGGGCCGCCTACGTGACGGACACGAATCTTCCGGGGAGCGAGAGAGAGTGACGGAGAGAGAGCGAGAGAGCAGATAGGGGGAAGAGGGGGTGAGGGGTGGGGGTGGAAAGGGGGGGGGCGACGAGGGTATAGCAGGATGTGTAGTGGGGAAAGGGGAGGTGGAAGGGACGGGGCCCCGGAAGGGTGGAAGAAGTGGGCGGTTGAAGTGGACGAATAGCAAAGTTAACTACGAGAGTCCTCGCCGGCCCGAAAGGGGTAGCCGCCCGCCGACCTTGGATGGAGCCCCTTTCGTCGCGCCTTCTCCTTCCTCCCCTCCCGCGGAGCTCACCCTTTCCTCTCTCTCTCTCTCTCTTTTCTTCCTCACTAACTGTACTGTTGCGTGTGCTCACGCTGCACCGGCGCTCGTCGCGATGGGTTTATATGGCACTCCCCAGCCGCGTGGGCGGGGCGCTGGTCAGGCGTTAACGCGCGCCCGCCTCCGCAGCGCTCAGATGAGGGTCATAACTTGCCTAACGCAACCTTCCTACCACCACAATTCCGCCGCAAGCGCTCCGCCTTCCCCTCCCCACCTCTCTCAACTCTCTCAACTCTCTCTCTCTCTCTCGCTCTCTCGCCTCCCCTCTCTCTCTCTCTCTCGCTCTCAGTCTCACACTCTTACTCGCTCTCTCTCTCTCTCTTATTCGCTCTCTCTCGCTCCTTCTGTCCTCTCTCTCGCTCTCTCACTCGTTTACTCTCGCTCCTCACCCCTATCTCGGGGTCGTTGTTTCGCCCAGGTCGTTTGGAAGAGGATTCCGGGCCGGGCTCGGCCTCGAGACGTTGCCCTTGCCACCGATCCCCCCCGGGGCCCCGGGGAACCGACGCTTATCTTCTCCAGCTGCAGCAGACTTCCTGCGCCACCGGTGCGGCGCCCACAAGCAGCCCCTGCTCTGATCTTGGATGAGAGAGGCGCCCACGCTGCGGGTCCACTTTTATTTTTAAACCCGGCTCTTTTGTTTACGCAGTCCGTGCTGGACCGCCGGAGGGTCGAGAATGAGCTGCCAGATCTACGCGAGTTGCGGCACCCCAACCTGGTAAGTACTGTAAACACTTAATGGTACTTACTAGTACTCGAAAATACCCACTAGTACTCACGAAAACACGGAAATAGTTGCTATTACGCAAATACTTGCTAGTGCTTGCCTGTTAGAGTGTTTAATTGTCACCTTTTGAGCGCTTTGCGCCGTGGGTTCCTCAATTCGGATTTGATGTGTACAAGTGGTTTGTTTGAAAGGACTTGTGGCCAACTTTGAAAAATCCACTGCTTGCCCCTTCCGAGATGGGGAATCCACTGCGTAAAGCGCTCAAAAGTTGAGAATGAAACACCCTATTACCCGTACTCCCAAAATACTTGCCGTTACCGACCGATGCCCGCAAACACTACTAGTACTCGCAAGTGTTTACTTGAAATCATAACGATGTACAGAACACGTATGCGCAAGCGGGCGTCCACTGCGCGGCCGGACCTGATGGTGTGGGGGTCATCACGTACGGTCGCGACTATGGCCAACGGCTCTGATTGGCTCTAACAAGCGCTGACCCTTGAGGTCGCCAAAGGTCGCGACCGTGCCCTCCCGCCCGCGCGGCCCCTTGAGCGGGCGCTGACCGCCGCACCGCCGCTGGAACAGACAACAACACCCCGAGTGCGGCGGTGACGAGTCCTTGGGGAGCGCCCGCTGGGTAGGCCACACGCCCGCACCCGCGCGCAGCGGCCGGGGGCGTTGCCTACCCGCACGGCGCTCCGGGGAGCGAGGGCACCCACTGAAGCGAGGGAAAACTGGCGACAACTTATCCTCGGTCTTACCACGTACCACAGAGGGGGGGGGGAGGGGTGAGATTTTTTTTTCGGACATTTCTGAGCCCTGCCCCTTCTTCTCCTCTTTTCCAGACCTCCCACACCCAAGCTTGACCAATATCAGAGCGGCAGGGGTGGGGATGGAGGGGGCACGCACTCAAACTGCCGCGCAAACCAATTTCGTGGGGGGCAGTCCTGTTGAACACACAGATCGCCCCCTCCCGACCCCCACTTGCACGACCACCACCACCAACCAGCTATTGCTGCGGAGGCGGGTCTGATGCCAAAAGGGACTCAGGCTCGCCTAAACAGTTCCAACAGATCCCCTCCTCGACCATCACTATTGCCCCCCTTCCCCCGCCTCTCTCTCTCTCTCTCTCTCCCTCTCTCTCTCTCTCTCGCCAGAACGCCTAATGAAAATTTCATGCAGTTTGCGGCGGATGGTGTGTGGATGCCCACATGTTTCTCCGGTCAGGGCGGCAGCCCACGGACCGTACCCGTCACACGACTCGCTCGCTCACATGCGCTCTCGCTCGCCCTCGCTCGCTCTCGCCGGGGCAGCTTCGACGGGACTGCTCCTTGGCGTATATGGCGTATATCCGGAGGGAGTAGCAGTACCAGCAGCACGGTCGGCACCGGAAATGGAATACGTGCGCGGACATGTGTGCGAAAGAGAGAGAGAGAGAGAGAGAGAGAGAGAGAGAGAGAGAGAGAGAGAGAGAGAGAGAGATAGAGAGCGCTATAGATAAAGGGGGTAGCGAGAGCAAAGAGAGGACAAGCCGCACAAAATAATTCAAGAGAGCATAAAGACGACGAAAAGGACAAAACGGCGACTGTGGCCTTCGAACGTCGCATAGCCGGCAGGTGAGGTTGAGACGCGGTGGTAGGACAAACTGCGCACATATACATCTTGTTCGCGGGATGACGAAGCTGGAGTAACAAGGGCCAGCTTTGTGGCTTCGTATGTACACAAACGGGAGGAGTATGAAGGCGGGAGCTGAGGAAGAGGGTGGGAGGGGA